AAGCTACAGAGGGAGACAGAGATCCATTGAGCACAGTGATTAGGCAACAACAGATTTAAGTATAGGCACAACAGTTTACAAGTTCCTCCATTGTATCCAGATGATCCTGTGTGTGTGTATTTTGAACCCAGGCTCCACACTGAGCTATATTTCCAGCTCCTTCTTTATTTTGAGACGGGATCCTTGGCAAGCACGAGGTTGTGAGTCCGATCCCTGGTACCAAAGAGAGAGAGAGAGAGAGAGAGACAGCATGAGAGAGACAGCATCTTGTTAAATCACTAAACTACCCAGGCTAGGCTCAAACTTGGGACCCTTCTGCCTCAATCTCCCAAAGTACTGAGATTACAGGTATGTACCATCACATCAAGCTCTATATGATTCTTGTTTCTTTTTTGAGACAAGGTCTCACTGTGTAGTTGAATTTGATGTGTGTGGCACCACACCACATGATGATTCTTTTCTTGTACTGCAATCAAACCCATGACTTACCTTGTTTTGTTTTGTTTTTTTGTCTTTTTCCTTTTTATCGGTACCGGGGATCGAACTCACGACTACCTGTTTGCAAGGCAGGCGCTTATGCCGCTAAGCTAAATCCCCAGCCCCGACCTACCTTGTGCGTGTCAGGCAGGTGCTGTTCCACTGAGCTATCTCCCCAGCCCAATGATTCTTTTTTAAAAAGTGACTATTAAGCACTTACATGTATGTACATGGTACTATAATAGTAAGCATTATACATTTAGGAACTCAGTTCACTTGATAGGTTAGACACTTACTGATATTATGTGAATGGGAAAACTAAGGCATCCAGAGAGTCAATAAATTGCTCAAAATTACATAGTAAAGAGTAGTAGAAGGGTTAGGGATTTAGTTCAGCAGTATAAGCGCCTGCCTGGTAAGCACAAGATCGTAAGTTCGATCCCCGGTACCAAAAAAAAAAAAAAAGAGAGAGAGAGTAGTAAAGCTGGAGTTGGTGGTGTAGGCCTGTAATCCCAGCACTCTGGAGAGCTGAGGCAGGAGGATCACTAATTGGAGCTCAGCCTGGAGACTTTAGCAAGACGTTGTCTCAGTGTTAAAAATAAAGGCTGGGGGCTGGGGATTTAGCTCAGCAGCATAAGCGCCTTCTTTGCAAGCTCATAATTATGAGTTCAATCCCCGTGCAAAAAATAAAAAGGGCTGGGGATATGGTTCAGGGCAAATGTTCTAGATCCAGTCTTCAAAGTAGGGGAAAAAAAAGAGTAGTAGAGCTAGATGTCAGTTAACTTGATTTCTGGACAACTTTTAACTAGCAATGCTGGGTATTAACTTTTACCTTTGATAGGCACAATTCAAGTTTCCCTAGTGTAGTTTGTATAAAGTTCTAGGTAACTAGAGTTTTTGTTTTATCCTCTAGTATGTTGCTGTTATAAATTTAGGGTTGAAAGCAGCTGACACATTTCTCTCAAGGGCTCTGAGGCCAGTGTCTGAGTACAGTGCCGAGTTGACACAGACTGTGGCTGCTAGTGCTTTCCTTAATCTCTCCCTGTGGGAGGCTGAGACAGGATGACTGGAAGTTTGAGCCCAGTGTGGGCAATTTAGTGAGTTAGCAAGACCCTGTCCCAAAATTTTAAGAAACAAAAGAAAAGAAACAAGAAAGAAAAAGAAAAGAAAAGAAAGATGGGTTAGTAATATATGCTTTTAGTGGAAAAGTCCTGGATTACTGAATTCTCAGTCTTGGAAAAGAAAAAGTGGATGCAGTATGCAGAGCTGTGTCTCCCCTCAATTGGCAGGATACTGGTCAGGATTCAGTAGATGTCCGTTAAGCTAATACACCAACCTCCAAGCTTCTAAATAGCAATTATGATATGTTTGTTTAATGTTTTTCTAAAAAGCATGTATGTTAGTGATTTATGTACTTAAAAATTATGTGAATTCACCTCGAGAATGATGGTGAAAGATGCAATTTTGACATTAAAACAAGTGAATGCATCAAATATTTAATTACAGGATCAGATGGAAAAAGCAGATTCAAAGCATCTCAGATGGAAATGTGGCCAAACTCCCAAACCAAGGTTGGAGAGAGTGGCAGGGCTGGCGTCGTCTTGGAAAACAAAACATGGTGCTAGGTGCACTGGAGAAAGAATGCAAATTTACTGCCCACATAATTTCAGGGCTGGTTTCCTTTAAAAGTGGTTACTTATTAGAAGACAAATGATTTATCTTCAGAATTCAGGAAGGCACACACACACTCCGAATCTAACATGAACTAGTGAAGGAAAAGCTGGAGGCTGCAGGCTCTCTTGCTAAGAAAGGATGTTTACTCCCTAGGATGGCAATGAAAATTTTAACACAACACAGTTTACAGCAGGGGACTGTGACTTTTGCCCTTCATCTGGGGAACAGACCTGCCTTGTCTCATTATTAGGCCCCAATTTTCTAATTTATTATTTATTCATCACTCTATCACAAAAAACACAATAACCGCATCTCTAAACAAATAGGATTCACTTGGACCCTTGAAAGATTTCCCTCTTTCTAATCTGTGGTAAAGTCTTAATTGAATTTAGGAATGTGCTAATTTAACAATTTACATTGCATGCTGGCTTTCTGGAAAAGTGCTGTCAATTCAAGAGGCAAGAAGTGAAGCTACATTACCTCCCCCATTTTCTTTTTGGTTTGTTCTGAGCAATTGTCCCCAGAAAACCAACCCACCAACTGCTGTCAGGTCCGATTCCTCTTTCTGGACTTACAGCCTTCCTGCTCCTCCACGATGGCTCTGTTGACTCTTTACCTCACCGATCAAGATGTACTGAGTGTTAGTGTCAGGAGGACTGCTGGGTTTGTTTCTGTTGCTTTTCTCTCTTTTTCAGTGGTGATGGATGCAGTCAAACCAAGAGGGAGGCATCAGGTCAGAACCTTCTTCTGGGGCTGTCTTCCTTCTGGCGATTTTTTTTCCTCCCATTTGTTTTCCTTTTTAACAAGAAATTAAAAACCACCAAGGAAAAGGAAAAAATACCAAAACTAAAGGTACACGAAATATCTCCAGAATAGGGCTGGTGTGGCAGAAAGTTATAGGCATGCAAAGAGTTGCGTGTAGCTGTTCATATGCAGGTCACAAATTATGGAAATAATGTGTCTTGGGAATAAATGCTGGTACAAGAAGCTTCTGGTTTTTATTTATTTATAAATTTTTGTGCTAGGGAATTGAACCTAGAGCCTCATGGAGGCACACACTTTACCACTAGCTAAACCTCCATCCTGGTTTCATGTTTGGAGACAAGGTCTTCCTATGTATTCCAGGTTGGCCTTGAGCTTGTAATACTCCTGCCTCAGCCGCCCAAGTGCTAGTACTACTACATGAGGACGAACACTACAGCTTACAGCCCCTGATTATTATTTTTTTTTTGTCTTTTTCCTTTTTATCGGTACAGGGGATTGAACTCACGACTGCCTGCTTGCAAGGCATGCGCTTATGCTGCTGAGCTGAATCCCCAGCCCCCAGCCCCTGATTTTTAAATTATAAAAAGTTCATTTGGCGGAAGAGGAAGAGCTTTGTTTTGCTTTTATTGATTCCCTAGTCTTTACATACTTCAGATGATGCCTGATAGTTAACTTTGTATGGGTGGTGAAGAGAGGGCTCTGGAAGGGAGCTGAGGTGCAGACCTTTTTTCTGGGACCCCATGCTGTCATGGGCCTGAGCAGCTCTTGTGCTCTTAGGAGGCACCTGGCCCGAAGGCAGCACTGTCTCTTTAGCACATTGGTCCATTTGGATTGATTTAAGAGCTCTTTCCAGGTTGGTCCTGTCCTGGAATTGTTTTTTTTTTTTTGTACTGGAGATGGAACTCACGACCTCACACCTACACCGCTGAGCTAAACCCCCGGGGCTCCTGTCCTGGATTCTGATGAGCAAAATCAGAGGTGCATATGCACTCTTTCCCCATCACTGTGATCCAAGTATCTTTACACGGGCTAGTAACCAAGCTTTTACATTATTTCTTCTTCACTGATGTAATCTACAGTGAACCTCCGCACAGATCTTAAGTGGCAATTATAAATTTTGACAAATGCATACACAAATGTATTATTTCATTAACTCTCATACCCTTTCCCGTCAATATTCCTTTTCCCCAAGGGTACTTTTCTTATCCCAACAGTAGTTTTGCCTGTTAAAATTTTCTTTATGAAACTGGAATCCTGCAGCAGGAACTTTTGTATTTGGTTTCTTTCGGGGTGAGGTTTTGAGAATTTATACAGGTTGTTGCCTGTATCCGTTTTAAATAGGACCAAGATATGCCTGTAGCTAAAAAGTGTTAAGTCCAGGACAGCTGTTCTGCCTGTTAGCCTCCAGGCCAGATTCTCCCTAAATCCTGGTAAGTGGCCCTATTGGCCCTTCAGGGTCAGCTTCTTTCTGAGGTCACGCAAGTTCCTCTCCCAGAACTGTCCAACAGCCTCAGGCACCACCCAGATGTCTGTGGGGCCTTCGCCCAGTCGTCTCCTTTGAACAGCTGTCTCTTGCCCCCTCCTCCCGCGTTAAAACTCAAAAAGGAACTGGCCCCTCCATCGAGCAGAATTCAGATTCGTTTAATTCTAGGATTCCGAATTCGTCAAGTGTGTGTTTTGGTATTGAGCACACACATATTCAGAGCCTTAACAAAACGTAGAAAAGATAGGAAAAAATAAATTGAAAGGTGGGGAGAAAACTCAAAGTGCAGGGCAGCGGATGTCAGCCTCCGTGGAGACAGGGGTTGAAAACGAAGTCTTTTCTTTTTTAAATAAACGGAAGAGTCGCTCTCCCCTCCTAGCTGTAAGGTTTCAAAGGTCGTCACACTGAAGCCCGGGGGCGTTCATCTCCCCAGTGGCCAGGAGAAGGGAGGAGGTTGGTGGGAGGAGGGAGGGAGCACACAAAAGCAGGCCGAGCAGAGAGGGCTAATGTTTCCTGTTTGCCTGGAACCCCCTCCCCTGCCTCCCCTCCCCTCCCCCAGCCCCCTCCCAACACTCCGGCGGAAGTGAGTTTGCTCCTTTGGAGATTAAAAGGATTCCGAATTCCGATCAGTCCCAATAACCGGCGTACTGCGAGGAGGAGCAGGAGGAAGAGGCGGCAAGGCAGAGAAAGGGGTCGTGCGCGCGCACGCACGCATCCTGAGCTGGGGGAGTTGTGCGACGCCCCAGGAGGCCAGGGCACCGCGAGAGCAAAGCCCGGCAGGCGCAGCGCACCCTGGGCCACCCGCGTCCCGCCCGGCGACTGGTTTTAGAAAGAAGATGACGCAGGCAGGAGCCGGCAGCATTAGCTACGCGGCTCTAAAACGCGCCGCGCGGGGCCGTTGCCGGTTCCACTGATTCCAGCACGCCTGGGAGGAGGCTCGTCCCGAGGCTCGGGATCGGAGTGGGGGGGACCAACGCGAGGGCGAAATGGCCCGATGACAAAGGAAATGTGATCCCCCTCCGCTGCCAAGGTTTCAGAGAGGACGGACGTGAGGAGGAGGAGGGGCGCAGAGCGCGCGCGGAGCTCGGATAGCATTGCACGACGGCCCGCGTGTAACGGACAGCGAGTACATCTAATATCTTCCTGCCGATAAATAATTAACGGCGGCCAGCGGAGACCTGCGGCCCCGTGCTGTTTGGCGGCTAAGCGGGAGACTAAGCAGTGCGCGGGAGGCTCCCAGGCCCGGCCAGGCCGGGGCACGAGGGCCCCGGGCGCCGCGTGGGGCGCGCGTGCGTGTTAGCGCGGGCAGCCGCAGTCCGGCTGGGCGGGCGCGCGGGAGACTCGAAGCGCGTGGAACGCGCGTGCGTATTGCACGCGTGCGGCTGCTGCTCGGCCCGCACGAGGTACAGCTGCGTCGGCCCCACCGCCTTGCAGGAGAGGCAGCGCCTGACCGTGCGCAAGCCCCGAGCGCTGCAGGCCGGGCCACCCAGGAGCCCTTGGCTGCCGCGTCATGCTTTGGGGCGGCCGGCGTCGCGCGGGGGGTCACGGGCTTGGCAACTTACTGCTCCCGCCTTTAACGAGTTTGGGGATCCTTCCCTTCTCAAGAGACTAAATTTATTTAAAGGAAAGCAACACACCAAATACTCGTTGAACCAAATTCTGTTCTCGCCAGGACTGGGGCTTCACAGCGGACTCTCCATTTGGGGACTCCTCGGTTAGCGCGAAGCGAAGCCCTAGCTGCTCCAGGGTGCACGCTGACCTCCCAAGCCCCAGCTTGCCCCTCGCTTGTCGGGGCTTGTTCCGCGTTCCGCTTCGAAAAGTACTCGGTCCCCCGTGTCCTCCGGGAGGAATCTTGTCACCCCTGGAGGGTGGCATTTAGTTCCCGTAGTGTTGGGGCTGGCAACACGCAGCCCAGACGTTGTGAGGCCCGAGGCTGCGTCGGTCTGATGTCGGCTCCCGGATTGCAGGCCTAATCGATGCATTTTTCTGAGTGAGTCGGTGGCTCCCCCCACCCACCTCGTCCGCTCTTTCTCCTCCTCCTCTCTGGTCTCCTCCCTCCTCTGGTCCTGGTTGCAAATGGCTTCTTTTCCCGAGACTGACTTCCAGATCTGCCTGCTCTGCAAGGAGATGTGCGGCTCGCCGGCGCCGCTCACCTCCAACTCGTCCGCGTCATCCTCGTCCTCGCAGACGTCCACGTCTTCCGGGGGCGGTGGCGGGGGCCCCGGGGCGGCGGCGCGTCGTCTGCACGTCCTGCCCTGTTTGCACGCCTTCTGTCGGCCCTGTCTCGAGGCGCACCGGCTGCCGGCGGCTGGCGGCAGCGCTCCGGGAGAGCCGTTCAAGCTGCGCTGCCCGGTGTGCGACCAGAAAGTGGTGCTGGCCGAGGCGGCGGGCATGGATGCGCTGCCTTCGTCTGCCTTCCTACTCAGCAACCTGCTTGACGCTGTGGTGGCTACGGGAGACGAGCCGCCTCCCAAGAACGGACGCGCCGGCGCCCCAGCGAGCACAGGCGGCCACAGCAACCACCGGCACCACGCGCACCCGCGTGCGTCCGCTTCCGCGCCGCCACTGACGCCCGCGCCCCAGCCACCCGCGCCCACGCGACCCTCGCAGGGAGGCCCGGCCACCTCGCCGTCGGCGCTGCTGTTGCGCAGACCCCACGGCTGCAGCTCGTGCGATGAGGGTAACGCGGCTTCGTCACGCTGCCTCGACTGCCAGGAGCACCTGTGCGACAATTGCGTTCGGGCGCACCAGCGTGTGCGCCTTACCAAAGACCACTACATCGAGCGTGGCCCTCCGGGGCCCGCGGCCGCGGCTGCGGCGGCGCAGCAGCTCGGACTCGGGCCGCCCTTCCCTGGCGCGCCCTTTTCCATACTCTCGGTGTTTCCCGAGCGCCTTGGCTTCTGCCAGAACCACGACGACGAGGTGAGTGTGAGCTGTGCCTGTAGGTTATGTACTCGTGTGTGTGTGTGTGTGTGTGTGTGTGTGTGTGTGTATGCGTGCGTGCTGGAGGGGATTATCCTGACCCGTCTCAAAGCACAGGGAGGGGGCCTTCTCCATTCAGGGTTGATTGTTTTTATTTTGGTGATGTGGCAGTTTTCGGTACCTGGTAGATAAAGATCTAGAAAGTGTGTCAAGACTTGGTTTCTCTGTGCGTGCCACGGGGGAGCCCCGCCATCGTATTTAACACTTTCTGGGTGGCAAAAATGAGGTAGTCATTTCAGGCGTGAGCCAGCGAGAGACGGGTGTTAAATAGTTGTGGATACCTTGTGCGGACCCGCCAGAGGCCTCTCACTATCTTTCATTTGCTCGTTTTATTTATGAACGTCGTAGATTGGTGCTCTTGAGCGAGTCAGGAGAAGGTGGTTGGGTGAGTGGATGATGTTAGTTGTATATTGCATGCGCTTGGGTAGACGCTTTCCACGTGCGCACTGGTTAAGAAGAGTCTTTTTTTTTTTTTTTTCTTGTCGCTTAGACAGCTTGGCAGTCGTGGCTGCCACCTCCTGTTTGGTAAGGGGACCTGGATCTTTTCAAGTCTAAGGCACCTTCACCTTTAAGTTTTGGTCTGTATCTGCCCTGAAGATGATCAAGTACTGTGTAAAAAGCATGTTCTAGTCTTCGAGCGATCATGGTGAATTACGGTTTGGGCTTGCGGGCCCATGGTAGCACCCCGAGGTGGAGGCTGAATCAAGACGATTTTACCCATTGCTTTTATTTTGTTGGGACTCCCTCGCTGCTCCCGCCTCCTTCAGCTTATATCTACGGAAACCGGTTTCTCTGGTTAGATATCCCACCTTGTTCACACACGGGTTCAACTCCTTGGGAAAAACTAGAGCAACTACATGCTTCTTGAACGTGGATGCGCACAATCTGGGGGCTGTAACTCAGTCTTTCGTCTTGATTTTGCTGAACTATCGAATAAAACGAGTTTTTTTAAAACACCACGTGATCCTTTTTATCCTCTTTACTTTGGTATTGGGCCAGTACCTTGCACTTAGGCGAATTCATTGGAGGCCCGAGGGCAAGAATCTGGAAATCTCAGGACGTTAAGGGACGTTAAATCTGTCGATTTGTGAGATTTGCTGTGTGTTCGTTGTATCTTTGCCTAGAAGGTGAGGAGACTGCAGCGACTTTAAAAATCCGAGTGGTAGTGGATGAGTGAGGAGCACCCAGCAGAGTGCTGTAGCTTTTTTCTCCCATTCCTAACCTGGTGTTTGAGGGAGGAGGCAGAATTAAGAGTTTAACTTCTATTGGAAAAAAGAAATTTTTTAGTGGATGCCTTCTTTGTAAAGTTTCCTTCTAAGTATGAACCTGGGCTAGATGCTGCATTTTAAATCATTTGAGTTGGCTCACATTTATGCCTAAGTTCTTAGTGCGTTCTTCCACTACTTCTGGGAAATCCCGGGAACTGAAAAGATGGAGCCAATTGACTTGTAGATTAGGATCAAATGGAGGGTGGGGGAGGTGAGTGGGCGCACTGTGTGCTAGCGAATTTATTTACCTCGTGGGAGAGGCCTTGAATTTCAGTGGTAGAATTTATATTCCTGTATAAAAATCTACCTCCGTTTCCCTTGGGCCAAAACTGTAGGTGCTCAGCATTGCTAGACTTTTGAAAGTTTTAGTCACCAAATTTTAAGCTTTTTTGGTAGAACCTAGAACCGGGAGAGGATGCAGTACCAGGTTGCTGTTGAAAAATCACTTTTTAACATGTGCAGTGCTGGGTTGAAGTTGCTTTATTAAGATGTTAGGTCTTTAAAGGTAAATGTCTCTTAAAAGCAGTTTGCTCAGTTTTGAGCAGCCTATTTCCTCTCTAGCTTTTCAATAAACAAGATTGTTAGATCTTTGTTGGACATTAAAGGTGACATCAATGCTCGGTTGCTATGTTCTGTTTTTCTCTTCGGTGGCAATGATCATACAGTTTCGGAATAATGGTAAGGGAGAGCACTTTGGAGGATGATAGACCCACCCCTTCATTGTGACTGAATACTTAATCCTGGCATTTCACTGTGTGTACAAACTTAATCAAATTTTTTTTTTTTGTCTTTTTCCTTTTTATCGGTACCAGGGATCGAACTCTTGACTGCCTACTTTCAAGGCAGGCGCTTATTCCGCTGAGCTAAACCCCCAGCCCTAACTTAATCAATTTTTACCATATGCTTGTTGCTTCCCATGTCAACTCTACTCCACTAAATAATTAAGAGTGCCTTTTCTTTTTCATGCCTGATGCCCCCCTGAGCTTGGACAGGAGGCCTGGGTGCTTCTCTTCAGCTGCCCTTGGGAAGTGGGTCCTTGGAATTGACAAACCAGGTATGATGAACAGAAACCATCATCATAATCTGAAAATCTAAACGGAGGGGCAGTTCACCTACAAAACCTAGGTTGGCGTTTTAATAGTTATTTGCATCACAGTTCAGCTGCCTGAGCTAGTTTCTCTGCTGGGGAGGAGAGGCACAGTGAAGCAGAGCCAGCTGCAGGCTGGCTGTGCCCCATAAGGTCACCCCGAGCCTGCCTTCCTCTGTTCTAGGGATGGGGGCAGGCACTCTTGGCTGCTCTGGTTGCTCAGGTCTTGTCACAGGAAGGGGTCTTCTTTCCTTTTTTTTTTTTTTTTTTTAGTGGTACTGGGGATTGAACTCATGACCTCAAGCTTGCCAGGCAGGTGCTCATGCCGTTGAGCTAAATCCCCAGCCCCTTCTGTCTTATTTTCAAGGAAGACTTGTAGGGAGTTAAGTGTAGGACTTTGAACACATTGCTTGCTCCTGGCTTCCCCTTTGTGTTATCGTTATCATTATTTTATTTATTTATTTGTCTTTTTCCTTTTTATTGGTACCAGGGATCAAACTCACGACTCCCTGCTTGCAAGGCAGGCGCTTATGCCGCTGAGCTAAATCCCCAGCCCCTATCCTTATCATTATTAACAGCTTTTTATTTAGCCATGTAGAATGACAGTCTTGCTACCTTGGAGATGACACTGGGAGTGAACTTTTAGTTGAGATTGGGCCAGTTATGCAGTTCAGGCTGGCCTTGAACTCACTGTGTAACCTAGGCTGACCTCAAACTAACTCTTGGCAATCCTTCTGCCTCAGCCTCCAGAGTGTGGGACTACAGGTGTGCACTACCATCCCTGGTTTGGGAGTGAACTCATGCAAGTGTGTTGTGTGTGGAAGTGAGAATTTTGTATGTAAATGGCAGGTAGTCTAGCAGAATTTGAACTTTCCTGGTCCCCAGGAAAGACTTCGGCATTGGTTGTGTGGTGACATCTTAGATTTCATGAGTCAGGGGAAAACTTGTGGTCTTCCCTGTTGGGAGTATAGTGATGATGTTTCTAGTTCCAGGGCCTGGGATTTTGTTGAGTCTCTTTGGAGTGAAAAGGGGTGTATTTGGTCTGTGCAGTTGGACTTTAAAAATGCTTCCTGATCTGTTCTAGAAATCCAATTCGATTTGACCCTGCATATTAAGTCCTCTCTTCTCCCAGGAAACCCAATCCCAGATGGCCCCAAACAGCTTTGAGCAAGGTGGTTTGTTGTCTAAAAATAATTGTTGTATACATTCGTATCCTGTCTTAAATTGAATTACTCACTAAACAGGAGGTCATAATACATCACCAATGTATTTTATTCTGCATTTTCAGAATTTCAGCTTTTCCAGGTATGCATATACCCAGTGTGTGCATGATTAATTTTAGATTATGTGTTCGCATGTAAGTTACAAAATCTGTACCAAAATTTTTATTTACACAATAGTACAATATTCTCACTTTTATACTACATGTTAAAGTTTTCTTTTTGAAGGAATGAGATTATAAAACTCATTTAGATAAAATCCACTTTGCTACCCCTTTTCCATTTCTAGAGGTGGACAGCTAATGTTGATGAAATTTAGGGTCAACTTTGATTCCATAAAAATGGTATTTAAATAGGATTCTTTTAATAAATTTTGCTAGCCTGGCATGGTGGTGCATGCCTGAAATCCCAGCACTCCAGAGGCAGGGGCTGGAGGATTGCTGTAAGATTCCAGCCTGGACTACATAGCAAGAGGCCATCTCAAAAAAATCAAAAAAAGAAAAAAGTTTATGTCAAAGATTTTTACTTTGATTTTGATTAAGGACTGGGTTAAAAATGAATAAATGGGTATTGTAGTATAATCTCTTAGTGCATACATCTCACCAATTTGCCAGAAAACAACTTATATCTTGGAAATAATTACATTAGGTGGCTGCTGCTTTGATTGAGTATAAGTCTGTTAGAAAATGCCTGATGAAAGCCTGGTGTAGTGGCATATATCTGTAGTCCCAGCACTTGGGAGGCTGAGGCCGGAGAATTGTGAGTTTCAGGCCATCCTGGGCTACATAATGGATTCAAGGACAGTCTGAACTCTGCATAGTGAGACCTCTTAACAAAACAACAAAACACAACCTGATGGAAATGTATGAGAGAGAAATGTTCAATTCCTTTTTAAATATACTGTAGTAGTAGGGCCATGTCCTGGCCACTGCTGTTGAAAAAAAGAAAAAATACTGTTGTCTTTGGTTTTTTAAAAAATTACACTTTGTTTACTTGTGGCAAGGTTCCCTCAAAGGCATAATCTATCATAAACTGTAGTGATAAAGAGGTTGTGTACGTCATTCCTACCTGTCTTTTTGGGACAGAGTCTTGCAGTGCAGTTCAGGCTGGCCTTGAATTCACTTTGTAGCCCAGGCTAGTCTCCAACTCACACTGATCCTTTTGCCTCAGCCTCCCCAGTGCTTTGATTGCAGGCATTTGTCACCACGCCTGGCTTTAGACTTGGTTTTGAGATTGTATATAGACTTGATATTTGTCTACGAGATTTTAGTTTCCAGTTATGGAAGTGCGTATTTTGAGAAACAATGACATTTTTTTAGAAGAAAATGGACACTTTCTTCTACATGTGCAGTCTTTATTCAGCTA